GAGGGACATAAAGGACAGTTTTTACTCCTTGCCCTCCTAGGTCAACTAAGTTCCAGGGGACTATCAGGATCTCTCGAAATGTCCTGTAACTGTGGTGAGTCACCTGTTCCTCTTGATCAAGGAGGCCATGGAGACCCCACCAGATGGACCTGAACCAGTATCTATCCTACAAAGAAGGTCAACACAGAGGTAGCATTTCCTCCATGCTTCCAAGCAAAGCCAGCCATAGTCGAGTAGGACCATTGACTTATCTTCACATAGATGGAACTGGCAAAAGAAAGGAGCCAGGGGCTCCTCCCAAGCCCAGTTTACCTCTGAGGAACAGATCCTCAAATGACCTTAGGAGTAAAAATAAGTTGATTTATCTGGGCCAACTGTAGGGTCTTAAACACCCAAAAGGGAAGTATAACCAAAGATTAATGGAGTTAATATAATTTTTTAAGAGTCCATATGTATAGCTAAAGGCTACGTAACAAGCAACAATGCCAGAAAGGAGATACCTTCCTTTGAGTTATTGGCCAGGATGGCCAAAAAAACTCCCAGACAGTAACCCAGCATAGAACTGGGGAAATGAACAGCAGACCCCAATCTTATCTAAAGGAATAGTGACAACTAATTGCTGCTAAATGAGGAACAGCTGATCTTCCTAAAACAAGGCTATCTAGATAGGCTGACTAGATTCAGCAGACAGGAAAGCACTGGGGAATGGCTTGGGGTCCTGACAACACAGTGGACAGTAACAGAGTATATGGGCTCCAGCTTATGGAAGGGGGAGGCTATGGGAGGGTGCCATTTGGGAAGTGGCTATATAGATGAATAAGATTGTGTGGGATGTTCTGTATGATATACACAGATAAAAATCAACAAATTAATAAAAAAGACATAACTTAGGAGGAAGCATAAATATTTACTTCATGTTAAATCTAAGAGATGATAAACATTACCAGTGAAATCCACCTGATGACTTTATATCCATACTCATGATCTGAGTGTAACCAACTGTGACTAGTAATAATCAGATATAGAGAGATTAGAAATGCATGTGCAAATATATAATTGTTAATTGCATTAAAAATGAATTTTTCTGTATGAAACTGTGTATTTTAATAATGAAATGTAAATCTTTTTTAAAAGTTAAAACCTCATTCAATCTTTTGTCTTATAGGGTTTATACTGGGTACAATATTGTATAACTGTAGTAATTCAACTGTAAACCTAAAAATTTACAGCCAATTTTGAAAGAGATGCATCTTAGTTCTGGAAATTGTTATTGAGTATGTTAAAGCTGTAATGAAAT